TAAACCCTAAACCCTAAACCCTAAACCCTAAACGAAACTAAACCCTAAACCCTAAACCCTAAACGAAACTTTGCCGACCTTATTTATGGAGCCATCGAGCCCTGCGGATTGTCGAGCTCCTGGCTCCGAAGCCCAGCAGGCACCTCAACCCAGACCCCCAAAAGGATCTAAAAAATAGATCCCCTAATTAGGAACCCTAACTATTAAAGGGTACTTTATAGGAACCCCCTTAGGGGATCTATTTTTTAGATCTTTTTGGGGGTCTGGGTCTGCATTGTCACATGGGAGCTTTAGAGGACAGGGGATCCTACGTTCAGATAAATTCCAGATGCCAAACCTGATCCTGCATATGGGTAGTTGTCAAAAGTAGGGTCCCTTTTGGGGTACCCTAAATCTTAGGTGCCGTATTCCATTAGGGTACCCAAAAAGGGACCCATAATTTTGACAACCACCCATATGAGGACCCTATAAGAGACTCTGAATAGGGTACACCGTTTACGCAGCTGGTCAGCAGCCCACTTCCTGGGTCTAGTTCTTAGTGGTCAGGGGTTGAGACTTTAGATTTAAGGGTTTAGGGTTTTAGGGTTTTAGGGTTTAGGGTTTAGGGTTTAGGGTTTAGGGTTTCAAGGTTCAGGGTGGAACCCCGAAGTAACATGGCAGAAGGCTGCGAGGCTACGACTGGGAACCCAGTAGAAGTATCTGAAACAGGATGAATCAAGGCGCCTTTCAAGTTTGTGTCATGGCCCGAAGATCTCCGGTGCAACATCCACATCATCATCATCACCATGACCGTGACCGTGATCGTCATCATGATGAGACATAAGGCATAAGGCTTATGACGACGATTCCATCATAAGCATCATCACCACGACCATCAATCAGGCTTTGTCTGTTGCTTCCGAGGAAAGTTCTTGATGATCGTGGAGTTTATAGTTTAGAGCACTAGTCCATCAACTCAAATTCAAAAGCCAGCCAAACCCCCTAAGTAACCCAACAAAGCGATCGTCTATAAATTCGAAACACACGCCGACCTCTAAATCTCATACCCTAGTCGATATTGCGATCTTCCAAACCCCAAACTACCCCGCCCACCCCCCACACCCCCGCCCCTCCACCCCCTCTGCAGAGCCTTTGCCATAGGCCCACATGACCTCCAATGGGGCAGCCACAAGGGTCGCTTGGGAGGATTTAGGGTTTGCGGCTCTGGATTTTTGGGGGCATTTTTGCAGGTTGATGGTTTCGGGTTAGGGTTTAGGGTTTAGGGTTTAGGGTTTAGGGTTTAGGGTTTTAGAGTTCGGGTTTTCGGCTTTGTGCGTCCCTACACTTCGCTGAGCCCTCAAACCAAACCCAGCGTAAACCACTTATGGGGGTCGGAACAGCTAACAATGTTCGTTCTGGATGTATCTATAGCACACTTTTCTAGCACAATATACTTCCCAAACCCTGTTCGAATGATCAAGGCCCTTGTATTTTGACCAAGAGCCCAGCTCTAAACAGACAGAAACACTAAAGTGAAGCGTTCAACTTTTCGGGTTTGAATCTCTGCTGAACCGCCATAAATCTCCACGTAAACAACTCTGAACTCAACCCTAAACAACACCTGCGCCCTCACAGCCCTCTAACAAGCCCTGTAACCCGAAACCCTAAACCCTGAACATGAAAGCCGCTATAGCACTTGACAGCCACTATGAAAACCCTGCGAGCCGCTGTCACACTACAAGAGCTCTGATGAAACCACCGGAAACGAATTGAACCTACTAAGCCCAATACCCCGGAAGTACTAAGGAATTGACCGCAAGCTAAAGGGGCTGTGCAAATATCTTATGGTTTCGGGTGCTCATAAGAGGGCTAAAGCTACGGCCCAGCACCAGTAAAGCGCTATCCTTCTGTATACATTTGTGGTCCAGGTATTGCTTAATCAAGGGGTTATGGTTTAGGCGACATATACATATCCATATATACAATTGCACACATTATAGATATATACATATATATACATATATATGTACATGCATGAATATATGTATGTATGTATGCATGCATGTATGTATGCATGTATGTATGTATGTGCCTTAATCAAGGGGTATTGGGATGTCTTGCAAAGCTGTGAAGGCCTGCTCCCCCGACAATGACAGTCGGCGGCCAAGGTCAAAGCATGGAGCTTAGGATTTGAGGCTCAGGGTTCGGGGTTTAGGGTCTTGTGGGTTTAAGGTTTAGGGTTTTAGGGTTTAGGGTTTAGGGGTTTTAGGGTTTTAAGGTTTTAGGGTTTAGGGTTTAGGGTTTGAGGGTTTTAGGGTTTAGGGTTTAGGGTTTTGTGGGCTTGGGCTGAGGGCTTGGGGATTTCGAGGCTTACAGGGCACTGCAGTGGTTTTGGCTCCTTGGGCTTGGGCTTTCGGGCCCGTGCGTAGCTGCTGCTGTAGGACGTTAGGGTGTGAGGGGCTTTTGGGGTGTTCTAGAGGGTGTTAGCAAGATCCTAAACCCGAAACCCTAAACCCTAAACCCTACAGCTTCTTTGAGGGTTTCTGTGAGAACTACAGGTTCTACAGGCACTGATAGGCTTCGGAGTGTGCAGCGTGGCGGCTTTGAGGGGGTTAGGGTTTAGGGTTTAGGGTTTAGGGGACGGGATTTCTGTTTGAAGCTTGTAGGTTAAGGGTGCGCAGGGTGCAAGGTTGAGGGCTTCGGGCCGGAGGAAAGGCTGCGGCATCTTCTCATGCTAAGTCTTCACAGCTTGGTTGTTGACTACAGGGTTTAGGGGTTCAGGGTTAAGACCTTTTAAATCCCAAACCCCAAGAGTTTCTAGTTTAGTGGGGCTCGAGGTTTACGCCTCTTTGGGGTTTACCCTGAGGGTCCAAGTACCTCATAATCATATACCCTTCTGAATACTAACCTGCACAACTACTATCCGTAACCCAAGTACATGATTATTAGGTCCTTTGGAGTAGTTATTACTTTATAGGACCCTAAATATAAGCCACAAAAACGAACTACTATGGAGCCTATGGCTACTTGATAGGAATAGGGTTTGGATATCAAACTTAGATTATTAGATCCTTTGGAGCCTTAGGGTTTAGGGTTCAGGGCCGGGGATGCGGAGCGATATCTTCTGGCATCGAAGCTCCGTGGCGTCTTGAACTTTGCTCTGAACATGACTGGCCCAGGTTGCTGGGAAGCAACCCGTTAGGGCTTCCCAGACGCCAAAAGGATCTAAAAAATAGATCCCCCAAGGGGGTTCCTATAAAGTACCCTTTAGTAGTTAGGGTCCCTAATTAGGGGATCTATTTGCTAGATCCTTTGGGGGGTCTGGGTTTGGGTTTAGCGTTTAGGGATTAGGGATTAAAAGGGTTTAGGGGTTTTTGGTTTAGGGATTAGGGTTTCAGGGTTTAGGGATTGGGGTTCGGGGTCTAGGGATGAGGGTTTAAGGATAAGGGCTTAGGGTTTAATAGGCAGAAAGACAACAAGGAGAAGGAGACCCTTGCTACGGGACCCAGCCCAAGTGCCTCGGACTCTATGCGCCAGCACGACAACCCCTAACGCCTCCACAATCTGTAGCTTTAGGTATACTTTCAGCTTGAATCCAAAACGGTTAGGGCCTCAGGCTTCTCTACGCTAAGCTGCTATCGATCCCTCAGACCGTGGAGATTTCACTGCACCCCTCCTCCTTAAAGGATCATGGGACTTAGTAAGTAGGATTATAATTAAGGTAACTATACTTATAACCCCAATTAGAGGACTTATAACCCTACTTACTAAACCCTAAACCCTAAACCCTAAACCCTAAACCCTAAACCCTAAACCCTAGACCCTAAACCCTAAACCCTTACTTACTAAGTCCCATGATCCTGCAAGTCAGCTCGCTTTAGTGCCTTTTCTCCCCGACAGCTCAGAGGCGGCCAGGTCCAGTGCCCGACGTCTGCGCTCGCGGCGCTTTTGCCTGGCCTGCGCTTTGTCGGGTAGGGTTTGGGGTTTAGGGTTTAGGGTTTAAGGTTTAGGGTTTAGGGTTTAGGGTTTAGGGGTTCAGGGTTTAGGGGTTTGGTTTAGGGTTTGGGGTTTAGGGTTTGGGACTACCCATAGGCCCCATATAGTAGTTCGTTTTTGGGGTTCATACATAGAATCCTGAAGGTAACCCCAAAAAGGAACTACTATGGGGCCTATCGGTACAGGTGAGAGTGTCGGGAACTAAACAAACCCGACGGAGAATGGCCCTACGCTGCTTTTGTCGCGGTGTTCGTGTGCTCCATGATTGTATGGGGATCTACGCTGGCAAAGATCAACTAAAGGGCTCTGGAATCCGCACAGCACTTATGGCAACCCAATTGAAAAACATATAAGCCCGAAGATGCCTTTTAAGTTAGAGAGATCTTGTTGTTCTGAGTGGATGTGGCATATGGTCTTTTGAAACCAGGAGGAGCATCACAGCATTTCTTGCTTTGGTACCCCTGATTAAACCCTGAACCCTGGTTCCCTAAACCCCAAACCCTAAACCCTAAACCCCAAATCCCAAACCCTAAACCTTGAACCCCAAGCCCCAAACCCAAAAGCCTAAACCCCAAACCCTAAACCCTAAATCCTGGGCTCTACAAGAGTACTACACGGCGTTTAGGGTTTTGGGATGTAGGGTGCAGGGCCCAGGGTCCTCAAGGAGCCCACTCCCTCAACTCAACTCACGGTTTAGGGTTTAGGGTGTAGGGTTTGGAGGTTTAGGGGTTTAGGGTTTTAGGGCCTTAGGGCTTTAGGGTTTTAGGGTTTAGGGTTTTGGGGTTTTGGGGTATGGGAGAAATATTGCCAGCGACGGCACATCACTGATGGATTCACCCTGAAATAGGCCCGAATCGTCCTTGCAGGAACCGCCTGGAGCAGGTACCTCTAGTTTTTAAGAAAGCCCCATCTGCATGAAGGCACGAAGAACATCCCCCGTGCTTCACTTGCCAAAGAAAGGCAGGTAGAGCTCGGTGATGCCCTAAACCCTACACCCCTGAAGCGACAAGCATCCTGAGCCTGTTTTACACTTGTGATGTATCATTGTCTTCAGCCCTTAGAAGCACATCTGTCCACCGTTTGACGGTGGGTGCATCAGCGCTGTCCATGAAGCGGATGACTTTGCTTTTTAAAGTCTCCTGTGGGGCACTAAGCCTCCGCGCGGCTTGTTGAGCTCGGAGGTCAAGATCCTCGCGGCTGAAGCTCTGCGGGAGGAAGATGACGGCAATGTCTTGAAACAAGACACGGATGAGTACGCCATACAAATGTAGGTCGTCTATATCTAAGGCCGACTCGGGAAACTCGGCCGACACGGAACTGGCGGCAGGCACTCGAAAACTATCCTCAGCAAGCACTGGTATCATGCAACATGATGGTGCCTGGTAGGCTTGAAGTAGCCATTCTTGGACGTGCTCGGATCTGAAACAATTCTCGCTGCACAGCATCAGAGACATCTTGGTGGATACATGGACTCTGGAGCCTTTCAAGAGCACCGAGGGCATCTGTGGCATCTGGGTGCCCAAGAGCCTTACTTCCCCAATAAGCCAGGGAATAAAAGGTTAAACTTTCAGATTGTTACTAAATTATAAGAACCCAAAAAGCTTAAAGGTTAACCTTCCAGATTGTTACTAAACTCTAGGAACCCCTAAAGTTTAAAAGTTAAACTGTCAGATTGTTACTAAACTCTAAGAACCCAAAAAGCCTAAAGGTTGGGTGTTGGGGGAACTAAAGTGACAGATCCTGAACCCTAAACCCCAAACCCCAAACCCTAAACCCTAAACCCTAAACCCTAAACTGGGGAAGCAAGTGTTTGGGGAACTAAGGGGCAGTGGCTTCAGCAGCGTGGAGAGCACCAGAGCCGAAGCCACGGCTTCCAGGTTATCGGGGTCCACCAACAGGGGAAACTCGGAGGACCCACCTGCCACGGTTTAGGGTTTAGGGTTTAGGGTTAAGGGTTAAGGGTTAAGGGTTTAGGGCTAGGGTTTAGGGTTTAGGGTTCCCAGAATTTCAAGTGCGAAAACTATAAGGTTCCTGCTACAGAATCAGCATGATTGCAACTAGTCTTTGCGCTCCTTGCTCGAACTATGCCGTAACAATGCTCTAGGACATCCCCCCAAACCCCATTCTCCTGTTCAAGCCCCTTTGCTCTTTAAGCTTACCTGACTTTCTTAGGGGCTGAGTACCCTAGCCCAAAAAAGGTTAACCTTTTCAATTATGGTAGTATTATATAAACCCCAGAAGGTTAAAGGTTACCTATTCAGCCACTAAGCTTTCAGAAGCTCACACCTCTGCTGCTGGATCGAGGTCCTTTTGCGGGGCCGATGCCGACGACAGAATCGATCATCTCAGCAATGTGTGCAGGGTTGAGCTGACCAGGAAGGCGAACTTTCTTCACCGAAGTCAACTGCCTCTGCGGAGTTTGGGCTTCTTTCAAGGATTCTTGCTATCGTCATCTGTTTCATAAATTATCCTATGCTGTATCAAAAAGTATCTTATTTTACTGTCTTGCCCGTGTCCTGGGAGCTTTGTCAGTTTAGGTTTCGTGTTTGTCGGCGGCTGAAGCTAGGAACGAAACAAAAGCAACCCGCAACAATCAAAGCATCGCAAACCCTAAATTCCGAAATTCTACCCAAACTTCTTTTACCACTCTTAAATCATAACTCCTGAACCCCTAGACCCCCTGACCCCTCAATTCTACACCCGTAGGCCCTAAAGCCCAGAAAAGACGGATACTAAAAATAATACAGGGGCCTTAATAATTAGAAACGGGTTTGGGGGTATTTTGTACTATAACCATAATAAGGAGCCTTCCAAATAGTACTGGTAATTACTAAGGCCCCCACATTACTTATAATACTTGGGCCGGTCTGCTTCGATTCCTAGGACCTGCAGGACCAACCTAACCTACGATAAGCTGAGCTAAGCTATCTGTTTTATGTATCTATTTCTGTTTAGGGTTTAGGGTTTTTCTGTTTAGGATCTATTTCTGTATCTTTCGATATGGTGTGGGCAGGAAAGGTTTCCGGAGAGAACCAAGCCAGGTACCTGAAGGTGTCCTGGACATCGGCCAGGCCAATCCCAAACCTTACCAGCTCGTGAATATCTGGCACCGCGCTGTCGACACTCTCTATGAAAGGCTCCTCAGAAACAGGGGTTCAGTAACACTGGAAACCTCGCGTTGCGACGCTCTAAACCCTAAATCCTAGTACAGCCGTAGAACAGCCTTTAACATGCGGAACTGGGCTTTGAAGCAACCAGGGAGAAAAAAGGTAGAGACTTTTATTTCATAATGGCTCCTTTAAGGAACAGGTCCCCCCCAAAAAAAAGTATTAAAGTATGGTACTCCAAAGCCGAGTTTAACATGCTGAATCACGTCCCAGCATCCTCAGGCGGCCTCCAGTCAGGCCATTCCAAGAGCAGGCTTCGGACACCACTGGCTCGAGCGGTAACCATCTCACCTCAGCGTCCATAGCGTCCCCACATGGGGGTTTCCGAAAATTAGGGGTACCTTATTTTGGGGTCCTTATAATAAGGAACCTATTATATAGGGTACTATATTAGGGTACCCTATTTTTGGAAACCCCCACATACGACTGCAAGAACGCGCGACCCCAGCGCACAAAGGTGCGTGCTAAAATTTCAGCAGGCGTGGGATAACTAGCAGCAGCGGCAGTATTGGCGGGCGGTAGGCGTCTTTAAGGTGTTTGTCGTCTTCGTCGTTGTCGGCGCAGCAGCAGCGGCAGCAGTAGTAGGAGTGGCTGTGATAGTGTCACCAGCATCTAACGCCGTAAGCCAATGCTTCCAGAAACTGCTCAGGGTTGTGCCTTTCTCGTGTTTTTGGTGTGATCCCTCGTTTTTGTTGGAAGCCTCGTAAGTGTCATTCCTTGGGCTTCTCTTCACCTGAGCACGGCCACTCTGCTGCTTCTGCTGTAGCTGTTGCTTTTGCTGCGGCTGTGGCTGCTGCTGTTGCTGTTGCTGTTGCTGTTGCTGTTGCTGTTGCTGTTGCTGTTGTTGTTGTTGGTACAGACAAAAACAGTAGCCCGTAACTTCTGTTGATTACAAACATTTGGGAATGCTTCCGGTGATCGCAAAGGGTGCCTGTAGAGTTTTGGGGAATTCAAACCATAGTTTACACAGCATCTGCACCAGGATAGAAATGCTGCGTAGGCTGGGTTGTTGTTGTAGAGGGGGGCGGGCAAAACAACAGATGGGGCTCCAGTTTTGTCTCTAGCAGCAGGTACAGGCAAACGCCCCATTGAAATCAGGACTTTGTCTCTACCTGCTGGTAAAGACAAAAAGTGGAGCCCCGTCTGTTGTTTTGACACCCCCTTTACAACAACCGCCCGCACTACACCACGTTTCCATCCGGGTATGGGAATCTGCGAAGTGTAGAAGAGGTTTCATGAGGTTTGGAAGGGGTTTAGAATTTACCAGTAATGTTGTCATGAGATTCTGTAGGGTTACAGGGGGTTGGGTTTTATATGGGTTTGGGGGTTCGTCTGGAATTTTCAATAAGGAATTGCAAGGATTTTATGTGATGATTTTGATGGGTTTAAATTGGAGTTTTAGAGGGTTTCTATGGTATTTGGAAGGGCATTTAGACAGATCTCAATTGCTTTGGAAAGCGTGGGCTTTCGGCGCTGCAGCCCAGATGTCCGACCGTACGCTACCTGATACACCGGAAATGTTCTGAACATCGTTGGAAATCCTTTGGATGATCCTTGGACACCCCTTGAAAATCCTTGGAAATCCCATGAAAATTCTTGTAAATCCATGGAAATCCTCTGCAAATCCTTCAAACCCTGTACACCATAGCCACTGTGTTGTTGTTGTTGTTGTTGCTGTTGCTGTTGTTGTTGTTGTTGTTGTTGTTGTTGTTGTTGTTGTGGGGCGGGGGGGTTAAACAACATGACGGGGCTCCTGCTTTTGTTCTACCTAATGTACAGACATAAAGCAGATATATTGGTTGACGTGGCTGCAGCTTGTTGTTGCTGCTGTCGTTGGTGGCGCTGGTGGTGGTCGTCGTTGTGATTGTCGCGGTGCGGCACGGTCGTGTTGTTGTTGTTGTTGATGGTGGTGGTGGTGGTGGTGCTGGCCGTGTCACGGAACAGGTCTATGATGAACGAGAACATGTTACTACACAATATACTGAGTATACTGCCCCAACAACCCGAGACCCCACCCTAAACCCTAAACCCTAAACCCTAAACCCTTGTTGTTTAAGATAGGCTTCCTAGCCGGACCCAGTCACCGATGCACCACTTTCGAAGGAAGACCTCCTTCGTACCGAGAATCACAAATGACTCGGTATCCTGAATTCCATGGATTTTCGAGGGGTCCCCAGAGACTCCAAAACCCCTTAATTAAGGAATATACTATTAAATCATATTAGGATTCCTATTGTAGTTTAAGGCATATTCCTTAATTAAGCGATTTTGGAGTCTCTGGGTCTAGAGTCCAGGGCCTAGGAGGGTTTGACTAAGGCTTGCCTTTAGGGCTCTACCGGAGTTTGCAGCGCTTTGTTAAGGTCTTTTCGCGGTTTTTTCCCAGAGCTTTAACCGTGTTTTGTGTCTTTAACCGGGCTTTGCAAGGTCTGTAGAAGAAGTTGAAAATAGAGTGGGAGTATTTCGGATCATGAACAAAATGACAGACGCCTGCACACACTTCTGAGGATCCTACCTCCACTTGTCTACACTCGTGCCATCATCACCCACCGTCGTATTTTGAACCGTGTCGAACTCTCCGCTTCACTAATGCCAGCTAGAACATGGTGCATGCCCTACGCACGGCTTGAATAGTTCCTTTACATTCAGTATTCAGTGCTTGCCCTCTTCCGTCCACCAGTCCCCTGGCTTTTAAGTAACCCCCAGTATATGGAAAATCCAAGATATGGAATCTCTTAAAAGTAAGTACGGTATCGGGGTCCCTCGTATTGATAGGGATCCAGCTATTTGGAGTCTTTATTGATGCTTCCTCAGTTTACGGGGACTCCCGCCAGCTTCGGAACCCTAACAAACCCTAAGAAACCCTAGGAAACCCCAAGGAACCCTGGAGAACTGCCAAAGCTCACCAACGGGAAGGATCCTCTGCAGTTCGATCATCCCTATCAGCCCTAAACCCTAAGCCCTAGACCCTAAACCCTAGACCCTAAGCCCTAAACCCTAAACCCTAAACCCTAAACCCTAGACCCTAAACCCTAAACCCTAAACCCGAAAGTTTCCATAGGCCATATAGGAGCCCCGCAGATCAAGCTCCAATACCCGAAAGCCCATTCAGTCCACGGTGTGGAAGACTTGTGAAACCCTACTTGGAGGATCATAGGACTTAGTAAGTAAGGATTTAGGGTTTAGGGT